AGGAAGGAAGGAAGGAAGGAAGGAAGGAAGGAAGGAAGGAAAGAAAGAAAGAAAGAAAGAAAGAAAGAAAGAAAGAAAAAGAAAGAAAGAAAGAGAAAGAAAGAAGTAATTTAAAGACAAAGGGAGAGGGATAGATTTGCTGAATATGGCTTCTGGGCAAAACAAAAATCAGTAGGTTGGAATTCATGTAGTGAATTGATGTAGTGTTAGGAATGACATATATGACTGCATGGCCTCAAGAGGTGGTAAACTCATTTAGAAAAAATGAACAGCTGTCACTGAGAGGGGCCCTTTGAGTGGGAGGGCAGCCTACAACAATGAGGATAGCCCAAGCACTCTGAGTCACCCTGGCTGACCCAGCCCACTCACCACACAGTCGATATTCAGAGTATGCCTGTTGACCAGAACTGGACTAAGACATGGTCCCTAACTATAAGGATAGGTAGAACCAACATAGGTAGGATTCCTGAAGGAGATGAGTCCTCCACGCACCTGACAGTTTCTCTGTTACGTACCCCCAAAGGACAACCACCCAGCAATCCACAAAGAGTACCACATTGAGCTGGAGCTCCAGGCTGAGGACGCCTCCACTGTCCAGTACTGGCAACAGCCTCAGGGCAAACACAGCTGGGCGCTCAGGAGGAAGGGCCACACTTGGGCCAAAGAAGATGTAGAAGTGGACAGAGAAGGTGTCCAGTTCATTGCGCAGAGTCGGGCGCACTGGCCAACAGTGCTCAGGTGGAGATGTGGCCCCAGGTGCCTCCACAGAGGTCCCCAGGGATGGTGGCTCTGGGGGCAGTGGTTGGTTCCCCAGTGACTGGGGCATGTTCATGGCAGCTCCAGGGACCAGGGCACGGGAAAGACTGGGCTGTGGGCATTCTGTGAAGAAAGAAAACCAGATCTGAGGCCTGTAGCCTTCATAACCCTACACCACAACAAACCAAAACTGAGCCAGACAGTATTTAACAAAGGCTGAGAACTAGAACATGATGTTCCTAGGGAATGTGACATATCCAGGAACACAGGATAGGGCCCAGGGGTTTCCTAATGATCACAACTAACAGAATGTCATGTTGGAGAGAATCGAGGTCATCTGTCCCTCCCTCAGTGCAGTAGTAACACCGTTAAAGCGTTTAACTGTTAACCGTCAACATTGCTAACTTTGTAAACTGTCTAAGATAACTAAGTGTAACAGGCTGTCTCACTGACTTACATGGACAAGGACAATGTCCCAGAGGTTTTGGCTGTCCTTGCCTATCTCAGGAAACTGAAAGAAATATTAAATCAAGGAAGATAATAAAAGCCTTTATTTATCCCAAGTCAGATGCAAAAAATGATCTGAAGACTGTCCAAACACTTGGAACTCCAGTTGGGATGGGGGTCCGTCAGGATGTACAAAGGAGTCTGGGTGGGATAGGGGAAATTGTAAGGCAGAGGGTCACCAAACACAGCCACCCAGGTCACTTCCCAGCCACAGATGTCTGCAAAGGCTGGATGACTGGGGCAGATGTGAGGGTTCTGACCTTGCAATCGCACACATAGCTGGAAGCGGATGGTCCTGCTAGGGCCCCGGGATGGTGTCTCCACTCGCACGTAGACCCAGTGCCCCCAGGGCGGCAGGGCCAGCTCCAGCTGGCATATCGAGGTGCCTCCGCAGGCCACAGAGCTTGAGTTGTGCAGGGGTGGGGCCTTGGGACGTAGGCGCAGTGTCAGGGGGCAGGCAGACACCCCTCGGCCCCCCACACACACCAGCTGCGCGGAAACCCTGTAAGTGAAGCTGGGCACAAAGACCCTGGGCAGGGGAGAGGTTGGGGGCAAGAAAGTACAGACAGAGAGGTGAGAGGGACACCAGAAGGAGGGAAACATGAGGAAGAAGGGGTGAGGAGAGGGTATGGGACAGGGGAATAGATGGTCTTTTCAGGTCTTTCCCTCTATGTTAGGAGAGAGGAGGCAGGAATCCAACCCACCCTGGGGGCTCTGGGTCCCAAGTCCAATTTTGCAGGACTAGATAGGTAGGTGAGAAGTCAAAAGAGAATACTGCCACCTGTTTAAAACAAGGAAAGGAAAGGGAAGGACCCGGCTTAGTGGGTATTTGACTTACTTGTACAGGGCTGAATGATTGTGGGGAGAGAGGGTTTGCTCTGAAGGACGGCCAGGAACCAGCACAGCCACATCCAGCAAACGGCGGACAATCAGCTGTGGCTGAAGGAGGTACTGACATTCATCCTGGAGACCCTGAGACAAAGCAGGAATGGGAGGAGGGGGAGTGACACCAAGGTACTACTAAACCAAAGCTAACCAAATCTAGTACATGGGCTGGGAAGAAATGCCTCTGTCCTCCTGACCCCAGGTCTCTGACTGCAGTCTCATTCAGCTTTGGATCCTTCCTGTCAGAGAAGTCATTTCTGATCACTTCTGTCTTATCTAGATCTCCCAGGTCTGCCGTTATCATCAGCACTGACTGAGGTCTGGGTGGGTGGGGGGAATCAGGCCCTGCTTGCCCTTTCTCCCAATCCAGACCCTCCTCCTGAGCATCCCTGGTCAGCCCCACATGACTGTAAAATTCAAACCACTCCCTTCCCACTACCAGAGCACTAGCTCTACTACTACAGGAGTTAGAAAGCTCCTTCAAGGTCTCCAATCCACCCTTCATCTAATCTTTACTATTATGTCCCATTTTGCCCCTTTCACGTTTGTACAGCCTCTGCTTCAACACACCCAGTGAGGGCTACTCATCACCTCCCCAACAACCTCCTAGACTACTAACTTAAGAGGAGGAGGGCCGGGGATTTAGCTCAGTGGTTCTGGCGCCTGCTGTGCAAGCACAAGGTTCCGAGATCAATCCCTGGTACCAAAAAAAATTTTTTTTTAAAGGGCCAGGGATTTAGCTCAGTGGTTTCGCCGCCTGCTGCGCAAGCACAAGGTCCCAAGTTCGATCCCTGGTACCAAAAAAAAAAAAAAAAGAACAGGAACCTTGTCTTATTTTATTTTTGTTCCTCCAGACATAGGGTTTAACACAGCATGCAAAACTCATGATGAATAAGTTCAAAATGAATGGATAAGTGAATCAGCCTAGCAGGGGGCAACTCTGACATTTATAAAGCCAAAACCTGTCATCTCTGTTGTCCTCCCACCATTCTACTTCCTCAGTCTCAGTCTGTTTCTTCTGACACTGGAGGACAACATCACATCTCCCCTGGCTTCTCTTGTCCTGAACAAACTCAGTTGCCCCTTCCCTGCAGCATTATGAACACTATTTCCAACCCACAGAGACCCATCATTCTTCAGTGAGCAAAGTACTATTTGTTACAGTTCCTCTTCTGTAGCTTTTGCAGCTATATAAGCCTATAAACCAAACAGTTATGAGGCAGAGGGGTCCCCTAATTAGGCTTCTCTAATCTGGAAAAATGCCCTAATAAACTAAAGGCTATGACTCATTCATGTCATTATTCTGTCCAAGAGATACCTCCAAGCTTTGTTCTGGGACAAAAGTTCCAGGCATGACATTCCACTAAGATCCATATCAGGGAAGAAACCAGCCAAGACACTGACTTCCAGCAAAGCTCCATGAGGTTGGAAGGAGGCCTTGAGAAATGCCAAACCAGAAGATCTCATTACCCTTTTCCTGAAACCATTCTGTGCCTTTTTATCATTGCATCTCCAGTGCCTAGCACACCATCTGGTGCTGAAGAAAACAGCTGTTGAGTTAAAAAAATACATGTCTCCCCTGGATAAAGAAAATGTGGTTTTTTTATAAAATCGAGTACTACTCAGCCATAAAAAATGAGAAATTAGAGACATTTATAGATAGCTAAGTGGATGCACATTGAGGCGATACTCTTAAGTGAAATAAATAGGACACACATG